GGGGGGGGGGGGGGAGGGGAGCGTCGCGAGTAATGGGATCGATCGATCCCGGTAGCAGGAAGAAGATTTCAGTCGCGTTTCCTCCAAGTCGGACTCGCCGCGTTTTATTTCCGTGCGATTGCGTCTCGTTGCTCGGCCGGTGTCATCGGTTAGAGTACGACTTCCACGTAATATTCTCTTTACCGAGAACTTGGTTTTCTCTCTTGACTATTAATTTTATACCCTCGACTGGGGGAAGGAGGAGGCGAACGTTAAACGGATGATTGATATCGAACGGGCTAAAGAAAATAGCGTTTCCGGAAACGTTTCATTGGAAGTAAACGCAGTTGTCTTCTTCTGAGCTATGCTCCTCGTGATTAACTCGGTCGGGTGCGTTATTATTAAATTAAACATCTAAGCAAAAATTGCGTCACGACTCAACGGGTGTCATTACCGATTGTTATTCACGAGGCATTCGTCTCGGGCTGACTTAAGGGAATGCTGGACGTCGATGTAACGCAGCTTCTCGCGTTGTTTTTTTTTATATAGTTGTGTAAAATTGCAAATGCTTATTCAGAGCGAAATGTCAATGTGTGGCGAAGTATCCTATCTTATATATCAAAAATAAAAAAATTGCGAATAAACTATTATTTTAATTCCAACACGGAGTACTCATTGGCACTTATATTTTCACTTTATGTGTGCAAGCATTTGCAATTCCATACAACTAAACAACGAAACAATGCAAAATACAAAGCTGCATTATGTCGGTACATCCAGCATCCTCTTGATCCTCGAAACCGCAAACTCGCTCGCGGCTAAGTCGGTTCACGCGGAATTAAGACGATTGAGATCCTCCATCGAGCTCTTCCTTCTCCTATGGCCGACGAGTTCGTAATACGTCTAACGAGTGAGCAACGACTAAGTAACCGAGTGAAATCCGCGGCGCGGTTGCGTGCCGCCTGCCGCAATGCACGATGCATCCGGGTGTACCCCGGCGCGCTCGTGAAACGCGCTCGCCGTTCGACCGAACCGTCCACCGGACCGAGACGGTTCGGCCGAGCACTTCCGCGTGGGTGACCAGTTCTAGCGGCGCAACTCTTAGCCTTTTCGATGGAAACTCGTCGTCGTCATCGTGGTCGTCAACGGCGTCTATCTTCCCTTCGCTCTCTCCCGCGGTCTGTACGCGTTGCATCACGTCGTCCTACGACAAACGCGGAGCTGTGTGTCGGCGGTGGTTGTCCATTGAGAGCCGACGTGCCACCTAAAGTGACGCACAAAAGCGATCGCGACCACGCTCGCGCGTGGACTACCGGCCAAGTCCCGCGATAAAGAAGCGGGATCCGGCCGCGACAGCGTGGCGACAAAGAGAAGTCGTTCGCGCTCAATTGCGCGCCGCGATTTTTAGCGACGCGCTGGCAAAGCGGAAATTTATTTCGCGCGCGCCCAGCAGCGACACCTAACACACACACACACATACACACGTAGCATACGCAGCCAAACACAGACTGGTATTGACTTCGCACGCCGCTGCGTTGTTACGCATTGAGTCGGGACACGAAATGTTGTTTACGCGCAATTACGGAAATCGCGAAAGACGGCGCGGTGCGGCCGGTTCCCCTTCGGCTCGGTAAATTTCCAACTCCCTGTGCTTCGTGGAGTCTTTGCTAATGCGGGATTACGAGGTGGTTCAAAGCGATGTAATAATAGCGGGAGGAGCCGCGGCGGGTCGTCGAGAGCACGCGATGAAAATACGAGAAACGATTGCCGAAAGTGCCGAGTTCCGGTGGCCGGCGAGCGTTGGAAAGCGAGCGGATCCGGGTGCCTCCGCGCGACTCGATGAAACTCGATCCAAAAATAAATAAGAGTTCATCAGCGAGCGGCCGCTCACAAATGAGCTTCCGCGAAATCTCTCGGTAAGGGCGCGCACACGCACGCGGGCACGCACGCAAGCGAGTAACCGCAGCCGCAAGCGAAAAACGCGCGTCCGCGTGCGGGTTGCTCCGCGATTGTTTCTCTCTTTCTCTCTCTCTCTCTCTCTCTCTCTCTCTCTCTCTCTCTCTCTCTCTCTCTCTCTCTCTC